GGTACATTTTTCTGCGTGAAGCGAAGGGCACCGGGCACCAGCTAGTGCTAGCTAAAACCGGCCAAGTGCGAGTCGGACTTGCGCACGAAGGGTTCCATACCTTTATAATCAAACGCTGTTTAATTCCACCAAGGTGCATGATAAAAATAATTATAATAACGATGTCCAGGATCGACAAAGAATGTGACGGCTTTGCAATCAGCTTGATTCTTTCAAGAAGCTCTCAATACGTCAAATTTTTATGAATGTTCAAAGATGATTTCTGCCAGTTTGTTAATTTTAAATTGTGTTTTGGATGAAAGGGGATTCCGGTTAATAAGATGCACCCAAAAAAAACGGCCAAGTGTGAATCCGACTCGCACCCTAAGGGTTCCGTACCATTATCTATAAAAAAGGCAAAAAAGTCATGTCTGTTGTATGGGAGCCTCACTTAAACAACTTTCTTATTATGTTTTGTAGTATATGTTGATATAGCGGCATAAGAAATACATCATCCGTGAAGATTTCAACTGTCTATCACGGTTAACGAGATACAGCCTGGTGGCAGACGGACAGACAGACAGACAGACAGTATGGGTACGGAACCCTATTGACTCTATGTTATATTATGATGTGTAAATAAATATGAAAGAAAAGTAGGTTTAAGTACTTTTGTCACTTACTAAGTAACCAAAGTTACAAGCCTCGCTTAGTTTGGATATCATCATTAGCTCATTTATTTTATACTCCAAACCTCGTGAAACGTTTGGTACAATAGTGCTGAAAAACAAACGTGCCGCCATAATTATCATGAATTATAATTAACTAGCGGACAGGACAGACGTTGTCCTGTACACACGTCTTACATTCGAAAATTTCAAAAACATTTTTCAATAACTAAACATTTTTGACGACACGAATGGCGTAGCAGGTGGTGTACCTGCCTCCTGCGCCAGAGGGTGTGGGTTCGATCCCCAATACTGAAAAATATTGTGTGATGAACATAGTGTTTTTCTAGTGTCTGGGATATAATATGTATAATATTTATTTATTTAAAAAAAAGTATGTTTAAGTAAGTTTATCAGTTATCTAGTACCCATAGTACCATCGTTGCTTAGTTTGGGACTAGAGAACATTGCGTAAAAAATGTGTCCTAATGTTTAAAAAAAAACTGTGAATCCAAAAAATTCTCGAATCGACGACACATTAAAAAATTCATTAAAATCGGTCCAGATGTTTAGGAGGAGTTCAGCGACATACATACGTACAGAAGAATTATACATACATATGTATAAAGATAAGCGATTGTTGATATTAATCAAATATCTCACCGATGTCGTTAACTCTTTCAAAAAGTTCGTCGTTCAAAGGCCTCGGCTATTTTAATCTTATTTGTTTATATTACGTACTGCATGTATACAGACGTCAAAGAAACTTTATTTTCCTCTACCAAACGGATCATTTCAGTTTCTGAGAAAACTTCTTTTGGGCTTCAAATGAGCAATTAGACAAACAGAAACAATATAATGTGGTTCATTTGTGAGAACATTTTAGTAAAATTGAGATTCCGATGTATTTTATTTTTCGTATGAAGTATTTAACATTGGCGAATCAATCCTTATAGCATCGGAAATATACTATCGAATTACAAAAATGCAGTAAAATAAACATATTTAAGAATACTTAAATTTTCCACTATGGAAATAATTTTAATAATCAATTCAGTATTTCCAGGGAAGCTGTTACATCTGAAATGAGCTGTCTCTATATAATCGTCTCTCATCATCTTTCTCTTTTAAACATTGCCCTTACTTTAGGATAACATTATCCTGTGTTGTAAGGACGTTTTAAAAACATAAATTTCACGCGGACAAACACCCATCTGCGGAACAAACTGTCTGCGGTTCACACAAATAGTTGTCCTGTGTGGGAATCGAACCCACGACCCCCGATGAAGCCAATACCTTGGCAACTGCGCCACGGAGTCATCGTATAGTCATATAAATAGGCAAAGATCACAGTTCAGCACTTTTATCTGTTCGTTACTCTATTATGTGTTTGTCAACTGATTTTCTTTTTTATTTTAACCCCTTTTTCCGATCTTTATTAAAAAAACTTGTGGAATTTCGACAAGTGGAACAACACTAGTACATATATAAAAAAATAATGTCTTCCTATATTATCATGGATATTAAGCATTTTTTACTCAAAATAAAACCACACTAAACATTCAACAGCAACTTAACAATAAATGAGACAAATTATAGGCAACGAATACCATAATTTCATTTTATTTTATACAATTATGCCCCAACTAATACAATTTGATATTATCATATTAATAGACTCCCACCGCTGGGAAAACGACCTTCTTTCATTCCACCACTACTGTATTTGACGGTTGTCTTATCAGTATTGTCTATTGGAGACTCGATTTTAGTGAGTGCGTAGTGATTTTGCTAATTCGGTTTAGTAACCTTTGATAAATAAAATAAATAGAACTCTTCCGCAATAATGTAGTTTACGCTAACTCACATCTTTTGATGATATATACATTATTTTATTTGTTTATCTATTCGATGTCTTACTACCCATTAGAATGTGCAACTATATAAACAGAATCTTTTTAGCTGAGAAAAAATTTTTGCGCTAATTTTCTATGATCTCAACACCACATTGTCTGAAAAGGTTTCATAAATAAGACTCATACGGAAATACACGGAATTCAATAGTACATTTTAAGTCACATCTTAAGTGCAGAGAAAATTAAACAGCAGAATGTTAATTAATAAGGAACACGTAATTTAATATTATGTACACGCCATTTGTTTATAACTTCGTTCAATATAGTGCTTCGGTGCTCCGACAGAAATCTGATATACCCTGTAATCATATTGCTCGCTAGAGATGGGCTGAGAGGGGTTGATCTAGTTACTAGTCAGTTGTCGGGTCACCGATGGGTTTATATCACAAATACGTTTCCCGGCTGTGTTGCTTGTCGCTAACAGCACTTGAAGGATCAAAATTCGAATTAATCTTCGGGATACTAAAGGGAATAAATACGAAAGACTCATGAAGAAATTTATAATCACAGTGATAAAAAATTTGTCACTGATTGGTATGTAATTATTTATTGCGAATATAAAAGCTTAGGTCAAGTTCAAATTGGTGTCTATTCTTGATAAAGCTCCTAAATGGTTGTGATAATTATTTAAAAAAATTATTAGCAATTGGGAAAATAAAATAAATATTCTTAAAAGGGGCGAATTTTTCATGAAAAGTTAGCTCCCAGAACTCTTCATTATAAAAAGTTTAATACATTTTATTATATTATTCATTATCTTCATTATTTAAAAGTTTAATTTATAAGCAAAACTATCGGCTTATGCGTCCATCGGGACATAGGCACACTACGCGCCGCTGGAGTAATATACCGTTGCATAAAATATTTTTTATTGCATTAAATATCGATATAAATATATTTAAAAAAGTATGCTGTCATCTGAACACTTGACATATATTTGCATAAGACATTTTGCTTGACGTCATTCCTAATCCAATGAGGTATCGCTCATATTTTACGGAGCCTTATCACGAATTAACACCAATTTGGACATTGACTAGACTTCTTGTTAAGTAAGAAAGGACTGCTCAGGCGAAAGTATATCATTCAGATTTTAAATATATTGAGAAAATTACATTTAATAGCTATTCAAGTAATGTGGATGTGGTATGGGTATGGCGAGGTAAATAGTTACACCTCTGATGATATAAATAGCAAGATAGATATGACTTTGAATGACAAGAGTGCTGTATGGTTTTCATTGATTTGAATAACTTCTATTTCTAGCCGTGATAGCTCAATGTCCGGGCGCTCGCCTTTAATTCAATATATACTCGAGCAACCTGCGTTCGATCCCCGGTGCCGGCACCAATGAAGTTTTTAACTTTAAGTGCTGACTTATCACGTGCTCCGCGGTGAAGGAAAACATCGTGAGGAAACCTGCATATTTTCGAAATAATAACAAAAAATATATTTTCGAAGATATGTGAAGTCCGCCAATCCGCAGTGGGGCCGCGTGGTGGACTATGCCCTGATACCCTCTGTATAGAGGAGGCCTTTGCCCAGCAGTGGGACATGTATAGGCTGTTACTTTACTTTACTTTACTTTTATTTCTACGGGGTATAGTAGCATTGACACGCCATCTGCCAAATATACATCGTATCACAACGCAATTGAGAATCGGATAGCACCGAGTGAATGTTATCGGGAATAGTATATTATAAGAGAAATCCATTTCTTCACAGTTTAAAGTTGACAACACATAATACATTTTTCTTGACACATTTGACAAATTCACAAAGAGGAATTGCCTTGTTTAGAAGCGGTTACGTCAGTGTCTGTTCAAGATTAGTTCATACGGCTTGATCACTTTCATCAGAAATTTGGTGATAGCAAAAGGTTCTACGTTCGATCCTTGACCCTATCGATTGGCTTCTTCGGCTTCCTCGTCGATATCGATATCGTCATAGAGAGAAAATAATGTAACATCTAAAACATCACTACTTTCGTTAACTTACTTTAAATGAACTTAGAAGCTTCTCCGAAGAGCAAAATCGGCAGCACTATAGCATGAAAGTGTATTATTTGGATTCGGCAAACGAAATAAAAGCAAATATTACCTCGCCGATCCACCTTTAACAAAGCTATTTGTAGTGACTAATTATTCTGTGGATTAATCCGGGACACTAAAGACCAAAATCTGGGTGTCTGAGGCTCAGCTTATTTGCACTGTCAGTAAGTTATCATTTTTATAATTACTATCTACGGTTGTTACCAGTAAGGATTTTGACACTATTCAACCTGAACAAATATTTCGTGTAAGCAATTAGAAAATCACCGCCTGGTGTGGCCGCATCTTTCTAAATATGAGTATCGATAGCCGTGAAGGCTCCCGTCTCGATCCAGGCCCATTGCATTCCTGTCTCCCGTGCGGCACGGACGCGCCACTTCGCAAAAATGCCGGGCAACGAGGAAAAGTGCTTAAAGGTACGTCTATATATTGGCAGATTACAATTTCGAAACTTTTCGGCTTACCAACCAACCAGTGATCGCTTTTCGATTTTCGAAACATCTAGCAAAACAGTTTTTGATCGTCTAGTGTTGTTGTCGATGGTATTTCCTTTGTTTAATTGCATCTGGAATTTGTAACACACAGCCTGAAAATGTTGAAACATGGATATGTTTGTTCAGAAATGCTTGCTTCCGACTCTTAACGATGTGACGGGGATTAAAAATAAAATTTATCTTTCTATATTTTCGATTTACCGTCGCTCGTGTACCATTTTTATGAATAGTATTTTTTTTAATATTTATGTCTGTGGGGGAGGCCTATGTTCAGCAGTGGACTCAAATAGGCCGAAATGATGATGATGCTGATGAATATTTTTGGCAACGCGACGCAACAGTCTTCTCTGTTGCACGAATGGGCAGGTCCGTTCGATCACCGTTTCGTCTGGTCAGTGAGGTGGCCGGGGCCCACTTTCTTAAAAGGCCTGATTTGACCCAACAGCCGTAGGGGTGCTACGGCTGTTGGGTCAAATCAGGTGAACTGTCTACTCGCTTGCCACCGTTGCACATCAAATAAAAAAAATTGAAAATAACGGATTCCAAAACATATTAGTATTCATTAACTTTCATTTTTACGGTGGTAGGGCCACGCAGCAGCTTCGGCTGTTGCACGAATGGGCAGGCCCGTCCGGGTAAGTACACGTTTCTCACACCCAAGATCCACCTGTAAAGTGGAAGTTGACAAATACTTTCGCGTTTCGTCTGGTGAGTGACAGTGGCCGGAGCCCAATTTTCAAAAGGTGTATTTACATCTGTAACCCTCGGGTTGGCATTTGTCCATGGGCGGCGGTATTCATTAACATCAGGTGAACCGTTTTTTACAAGATTTATTAAAAAAAAAAAAAATACTTTTTCGGTCAAATTTTCAAAAATATTTATAACCAGGATAATTCAAGTTTCCAACCCAAGTTTCCACCTGTTATTAGTTCATTATAGATGGTTACAGTCCAAGTTGTTGCCTAACCTGTATTTACATATGATAAACTAATATTTCCCAATTGTTATATATTAATGTGCACTTTTTTATTACAAGATTTATTTATATAAAAGCAGAGTAAGTAAAGATTACTTCGTGAATTTTTTGTTATGAAAAATGGCATGTATATAAAATTAAACGTATTCATGTATTTTTTTTTTAAAAAAACCTGTGCATAACTACGTAGAAATCTTATATAGAATGTAGTTGAATGACGACCTCTTGCTATTTTTCCCAGACATCGTAGATTTATTTCAGGTCCGATTTACGCCGATCTCCGTCATCGCAGGCCCACGCTATCATAAACGTTAATTTAGCGATTGTGATGACAATCAAATTGTTGTTTCGTTCCCCAGTTTCGCGCCTCTTAGCTGTCATAGGGAACTAACAGCGGATGCAGTAAGGACATTGTCTAACTGGACTTTGTCACAATTGATTATTTATCGATTAGTCTTAGAAGGTCTTCCATGCTTACGATGGTACGATTATTACGATAATAATTTTAATGATAAAATTACATCCATGAACCATAGAATCCCTGAATCCTGAAAGGTATTAAACCATACTTTTCAGGAATAAGTTCCCTTCTTTGAAACACAAGAATACTGACAATAAAGTTATTGTAAATTACAAACAATAGGATTCTTTAGAGGTGTGCGCGTGGTGTGTGTGTATTTTTTGCAGATGATGTATTTCTCCGCTATAACAACAAATACTAAAAAACAGAATAAAACATATGTGGGTCTACCATACAATAGACATGATTTTTTTTGCCATTTTTTTAGATAATGGTACGGGAACCTTCGTGCGCGAGTCCGATTCGCACTTGGCCGGTTTTTAATTTTAGTCTAAGTAATTTTTGGACCGTTCAGCGTTTTGTAGCGTTGTTTGTAATTTTGCGCGGGAAATGCGTTGATTTTATGTGTTGAAAACATTCGGCCAATTTACTTTTTGTTTTACGGCAGCTGGTTTATTTTATTCCTTGAAACAATATGCTCTCTCTCTCTCTCTCTGTCTAATTTAATGTACGGAAATTCTTAGGCACGAAATATAAATGTATTCTTTATGAACTCCACAGACTTGGTTTAATCCTGACGTATGAACTTCATTATGTTTCTGACGTGATTACTCGTTATTGATATTAAGAAATAGTCATTGGAAAGTTATACTAGTGAAGTTTTTTTGTTACTCCACGTAGCAATAACAATTGGTACAACTCCATCACCACCTTGTCTGAAGCAATTTAGGCCAGTCCCAATCTGACTTTATATGATTACTCATAAATTTAAAACGATTTTGACGATCCGGTTGGCGTGTGGAGGAGTAGTAGAACCCACTATTGGAAAAATAATGTGTGATGACATCGTGTTTTTCCAGTGTCTGGGTGTACAAAAAAGTATGTTTAAGTATGTTTATCAGTTTTCTAGTAACCATAGTACAAGCGTTGCTTAGTTTGGGACTAGAGAACGTTGTGTAAAAAATGTGTCCGAATATATTTTTATTTTTAAAATAAAGAAAGCTTCTTGATTTACTAAGTGCAGGTTGTATCCACAGAACGCCATTACGTCAGAGATAAAAACCCTGGAGTCGCAGTAGTTGTGGAAATAAAACTGGAACGGCATGAAACGTCGTGCACCAATTAACAGAGACACCGCCTTTAATTGGGTTTCGGTAATTTACCGCGCGGAATTAGGTCGCTAGTAGTTTCAGTCTTGTTTAGATCTTAAACAACTTTATTCTTTGTAACCGTCGTACAATAAGGTTTTTATTTATTTAGTTATTTATACTTCATTCCAATTACCTTAATCAAGGATTACAAAGGGCGAACTTAATGCCTTCGGGCATTCTCTCCCAGTCATCTGCATCACGTGAACCTTTAATAGATGTTATAGATTCTGGGTGTATTTTTTTATGTGAAAAGTAGCCAAGCGAGCAGGCGGTTCACCTGATGTTAAGTGAATACCGCCGCACATGGACATCTGCTACACCCGAGGGTTGCAGGTGCGTTGACAACCTTTTGAGACTTGGGCTGCGTGGCCCTACCACCGTATGATTGTTTTTGTTCAGTTTACGTTTATAAAGAAAGCTCTTCTGGATGCAACTATCTAAAGTGCGTGAATAATTTAGCAGGTCCAAAAGTCCTTGAATATAACATTAATTTATATATATATCACACATTTCAATGTGCAAACCTGTGCTCCAGTTTCTTTGGGTTTAGATGTCATAAACGCTCGTAAAGTTATTTTACTCTACTAAATACATAATCGCACGTGTGCCACGTATTACGCACCCGTATATTTTACATTATAAAACTAAGTGCAAATTTATATTATGCTCATTTCCATATTCCTCTTTCCTTTCAGAGGAACAAAATAAATACATATATAGTCTTAACATGACTATATATAACATAACTCACCGTCATAGTGACGCTTTCTTTTATTTCGACTTAAATAATTTTATTAAATCTAGTTTTAAGGTGACAAAAATACTTTGTATTTGCCACTATATTATAAGAAACGAATTGCTACTCTAGTAGCATATAATATACAAAACCCAGTTGTAAATAGTACAACTAAGAATATTTTATTATGTAATAATCTTTCAGCAAACAATGTTAGTTTAAACTAAACATTGAGACAACGCCTAGGCCACTTAAATTAAATATTGTGCATCAAAATATACAAGGCTTAAGCGGCAAAGACCCCGAAATTGAATTGTTCCTTACGAAATTTAATATACATGTCATCTGCTTCACAGAGACATGGTTACATAAGCACTGTAATATTGTTAATATAGAAAATTATAAATTGTTAAGTTCGTTCGTAAGAGTAAATGCTATTCGCGGTGGCTCTCTTGTATTAGTTAGAACTGATATAGTCTGTAAAAATCGACAGGATATAGTGGCACACTCTGTCGAACGTTCTATTGAATTATCCTGCGTTGAGAGTCAACAGTATATTATAGTATGCGTATACCGGCCCCCCTCAGGTGATTTCGATCAGTTTGAGTGTGTAATGGATGATGTTCTTAAAAAACTATGTTCAAGTAGTAAATCATTAATAGTTTGTGGAGATTTTAATGTGGATTTATTACAAGTAACACAACTCAGTAAACGACTTTTAAATTTATTTAACTCATTTGAACTTAAAAATCTTTTTCATGAACCAACTCGTGTTACTAACTTATCCTCCTCATGTATAGATAATGTATTCTGTCACAGTGATGTATATGATAAATATGTTATAAATCATCTGAGCTCGGATCACTTTGGGCTAAAATTTTCAATAAATGAAAAAGCTAATACAAGCAAACTTAAGATCAAGTGTAGACCAGTCACTACTAATAGAATAAATGCTTTTAGAGATAAAGTGGCACATCATATGTTAAATAAAGATATAGGAGTCAATAACCCTAATGACTCTTATAGATCAATGGTTGACTTCCTCATATCTTCTTATAATGATACTTTTAAATCGCGCACAATTGTTAAGAATTCAAAATTAAAATTTAGTGACTGGGCAACAGTGGGTATATACAAAAAAAGTAGGGATTCATTGTATGAATTATATAGTATGAGGCAGTGGAATCACGATCCTAACTTCCTTAAACGGGTACAAACATTTTCAAAAATATTTAAAAAAGTCTGTATTCAGGCAAAATCTATTTATATAAGAAATAGCATAATAAATTCAAACAATAGAACTAAAGCCACATGGGACATCATTACCCGTATATCTGGAAGAACCAAGATATTCAGGGAACCTATAAAACTAGTTATAGGTAATACTCCCATAATATCAGATAACGAAATTGCGAGTAGTTTCGAAAGCTATTTTTCAGACATTGCGGTTAATGTCACACGTACATTAAAATCATCTCCCGCAGACGCAATTAATGTTTTAAGAAATAATGTTACCCCTTGCCTACACACATTTAAATT